ACCAAACGCAGGGACAGGGATACGTTTGGACCTGGCAAAGAAAATCGGCGGCGAGCCCAGGGGGGGGAGTCAGGGGGGGCCTTCTCTTAGGTCGGGCATGTCCTCCTACAGGGGGATTTTGAAAGAAAAATGACAAATAATCAAAAAAATAAACATTATCAAAAATAGAGAGAAAGAGAGACAAAAAAAAAAAAACAAAAAAAAAAAAAACAAAAAAAAACGGCTGCGCTCGCGCCCCTGGGGGGCGCCTTAGAACAAGTGCACAAACATGCGGCAGGTTTCGCGCGGCGTCGGCGCGCGCAAAGGTTTTCGACACCGCGTCGCTCGTTCAACTTCGAATCAATCGCGGCCCCGATCGTTCCAGGTTACATCCTGTCGGCTCCAGTGACGGTACCGCGTCCCTCGGTGTTCCCGCATCGCAGAATTCAACATTGGACGCCTTCGCCGGCGCCGCTGGCGCGCCAAGGCCGCATGAACCTACAGTGCGGGCGCGGCCGCAAGAAACCCTCGCAAGAAACCCAACCCTGAAAACCCGCGCGCGAGGTGCAGCTGAGGGGAGACCCGGAGCACCCTGAACGCAGCAGCTTCTTCAACGGCTGCGGGAAGTCACCGCGCAGCGCGCGGAGCGAAGAAACCCAGGATACCCTGACGAAAATCATTTGGTTTCTTGATGCGCGACCCCACTGCACCGCAAACTTCGGGAGCTCCGCAAGAACTTCTCGGATCGGCTCTGGACCCCCCCTCCTGGCGCGCGGAGCGCGCGGGGGGCAGAGGCGCCAGGGTGGCCCATCGCCGATCCAAGGAGCCCGCGCGGACCTCCGAGGGCTTGCGCTCGTGTCGTGTTGTTGTCTGTCTTCCGTGGCCTCACGGCACCGACCTCGCAGGCGTGCTCCAGCGGGTTTTCGCGCTTCTGTCATTGCAAAACCCCGAAACGGCGAGCGAAAAACGAAGTGAATCTTGCATGGATGTTTTGTAGTCTTCATTCCTGGCCAAAAAGTCCAGCGAAATTCACTTCGAAATCCGGAACGAAATTCTCCAGGAAATTCCGGGCCAGTCTGCGATGTGTAGGCGCCATGAATGGTCGGTTGACGCCTCCCCGTGTCCTCGTAGTCGTCGGAGTCGCTGCTGTCCGCAGTGTCAACCTTCCTCGGCATCGCGGGAGAGGCTCTCCAGGGAAGGGCAGGCTGCGCGACCTTGGCGGGGGGCAGCAGCGGGGGCAGACGGGGGCTCCAGGTGGGCGGGGAGGGGAAGGCTCCGGAGGAGGGGAGGGGGGAGGGGGGCATGGAGCGACGCACGATCGACCCCCCCCCCACACCTCCCTGCCCCGCACTGGCGTCTCGCGGGGCGTCGACGGTGGCACTTCTCGGCCCAGATCGGCTCGGGAGGGCCCCCAGGGCCTAGAGCGGGGCAGAAGCGGCAGCCGACGACGCCTCCACGACGCCCAGCTGCCACGCCAGAGATGGGGCAGAGAGCGGAGCGACGCGCGCCCGAAGACCACGGCGATCATCCCAGGCATTCGATGTTAGATATTGTTTAGGAGCGGGCATCCCAAACATGCTGGACATCTTTTGGCATGATTCGGCGATCATCCCTGATGTACCAAACATTCGACATCAAAGATCCGACATCCCAGACACTCGACATTGACGGCGCGCACAGGGTGGGGGAGGGAAGTCGAGGAGTGCTGCCTTCTAAGTAAGAAGGCGGGGGGGCTTCTGACAAGGCAAGGTTTTCCTTTGGAGGGGCAGGTGGCTTCTACAAAGGCTTCTTAGAAGCCAGGGTGGGCGCAGCACCGTACCTTCCAAAAAGCTCCTCCGCCGTCTCAGGACGCCGCCCCATTTCGCGCGCCCCGAATGCTTGTCTGTGACCTGGGCCCCCAAACCTCTCGACCCCCTCCCAGGCACCAGCTGGTCGTCCCCGGTCGTTTCTTGCCCGCCAAGGGGGCCGAAGCGGGCTGCTGGAGGCGGGAAAATCCAACCCAACATGATCGACCCACGAACCCGGAAAGGAATATAGAAATGTGAGGCACGGCAACGTTTTCAAGACACCTGATAAGGCGACGGGCAATTGCAATGCCGAGTGTATCGATCTTGATGTACCGTGCCAAGGGCTGCGCTGTGCTGCGCGGTGCTGACTAGCGATGTGCCATGCCGCGATTGTGCGCTATAGCGTTGTGTATCGAGTCTTCCTTTGCATCCGAGACTAGACCGAATTGATCTGGATCTTTAGTTCGAGCTGCCTGAGCACATAGTAGCTGCCCCAGAGCTAGTTGAAGTGGAAACGTGCGGGACGTTCAATCAACTCGACCTCAAAATCCGACTCAGCTCCGAAAAGGAACGACACGACACGGGGTACAGGCTCACGGACGCGCCACAGGATGTTCTAGGGGCGCAAGAGGGGATGCGTCAGGAGGCCTGTCAGGGGACGCATCAGGGGACGTGCCCTGGACGTGTCAGGGACCTGCCACAGGATGTGCCAAGGCGCGTGTCATGGGGCGGCCAGAGGACGTCATGCCAAGAGATGTTGCAAGGGGTGCGCCTCGGAACGAGCAGCGGAAACACCTGGGGACGAGCCAGGAAACGCGACAGAGGACGAGCCAGGGAACATGCGCCGAGTGGCGTGCTGGGGGACGTCCCACGGCACATCACGCCAGAACGTCGCAAGGGACGCGCCAGGGGACGCGCCAGCGCGCCAGGGAACGCCCCACGGACGGGCAAACGTTTCGCTTGAGAAATCCTCAACAAAACCTCATGTTAGGCATCCGCCTGGGCGACCTGGACACGTGAAACCAAGCGTCTCGCTCGATACGTTCCCAAAACCTCCTCATGCTAGACATCTGCCTGGGCGACCTGGACACGTGAAAACAAGCGTTTCGCTCGACACAACCTCAACACATCCTCATGCTAGACATCCGCCTGGGCGACCTGGTCACGTGAAAACTAGCGGTCCGCTCGAGACATCCTCAACACATCCTCATGTTAGACATCCGTCTGGGCGACCTGGGCACGTGAAAACAAGCGTCTCGCTCGACTATCTCGACACCTCATGCTAGACATCTGCCTGGGCGACCTGGTCACGTGAAAACAAGCTTCTCACTCGAGGTATCCTCAACACATCCTCATGTCAGACATTGGGCGACCTGGGCACGTGAAACCAAGCGTCTTGCTCGAGGTATCCTCAACACTAGACAGCCGCCTGGGCGACCTGGACGCGTGAAACCAAGCGTCTCGCCAGAGACATCCTCGACACCTCCTCATGCTAGACATCTGCCTGGGCAACCTGGACGCGTGAAACCAAGCGTCTCGCTCGAGACATCCTCAAGACCTGGGCACGTGAAAACAAGGATTTCACCTGAGACATCCTCTGAATTCTGGTCCCCAGGAGAGGAACAATCTATAACACAGAACAAGTGTTTCGCTCGAGACATCCTCAACCAATTCTGCAAAACAAGCGTTCCGCTCGAGACATCCCCAACAGACGAAAATGTTTCTTTACCATGTTTTTGATCTATCGGAATTTCAAAAACCAGCTCGGGAAATCCTCAAAAAAAAATCCGCCGGCCCTTCACGACTTTGATATTTATCAGGGAACAATCCTGCTGGACCTTCCCAACATGGCACCTGGGACAGGTTTACCAACTGAAAGAGAGCCCTGGGATCAGGCCCTTTCCGGGGGAAAAAAAACAGCTCTTTCTGCTGCAGCGCGGCAGCGAACCAAAGAAGCAGCACTGCGCTGGGTATCTAGGCAGCCGGCGCGCCCTCCGTGCCAAGAGAGCTTCGAGACTCACGCTTCTTTGCGCGCAGCACAAATACCTCGAGCCAGAGCGGCCCGAGCGCGCGTGGACCGGCACATTGCTCCTGGTTTTCATCATCACCACTATCACCATCGTCGTGATCATCACTATCATCAGCAGCATCAACATCATTACCGTCGTCGTCAACATCCTCATCATCATCATCATCATCATCAACAACAACACGACCGTCATCAGCATCACCATCATCCCACGCATAACCATCATCATTATCAACAACCACAACATCATCACCATCACCATCCTCATGATCATCATCATCGCCATCATCAGCACCATCATCATCACAAGTTCCTCATCCTCCACCTCGCCACCATCATCATCATCATCATCAACATCATCAGCAGCAGCAGCATCACAATCATGATGCAGATTGGGCTTCTCCTCCTCCTCCTTCTCATCATCAATATGTTTCTAGATCAGCCACACTAACAGCCAGGATAACCTCAATTGGTTCCGATGCCATCGTAGGACTCTTGGACTGCACAGCCTCTCCCAGTCAAGGTCCCCAAGGCTGGCGCCCACCCTCGCCATCACTCACGACAGCATGGGTAAGTGCAGGAGGAGGAGGAAGAGCACCAGAGGAGGTGGAGGAGGAGGTCGGACTCTGGCTGAAGAAGGGCACTCGAGATCCCCAGGTGACCGATAGTAACGACAAGAGACGCCAACTCCCAAGCGGGACATTAGAGGGCACATAGGGCAAGCCCGAGTGCACACGAGGAACGAACAATGCAAGATGCACAATCACGGCAGGCAGGCATTCGCTCGAAACGAAAGAGCGTTCTCAAACGCTCAACATTGAGATTGGGATGGGGTCGATGGATCGACCAAACATGATCAACTCACGAACCCAGAAAGGAATGTAGAAATGTAACGCACGGCAACGTGTTCAAAGACACCTGATTGGGTGACGGGCAAATGCAATGCTGAGTGTATCGATCTTGATGTACCCTGCCGAGGGCTGTGCTGTGCTGCACCGTGCTGAATTGCGATGTGCCATGCCGCGGTTGTGCTCTATAGCGTCGTGGATTGAGTCCTCCTTTGCATCCGAGTCCTGACCGAACTGATCTGGATCTTAAGCTCGAGCTGCCCGAACACATAGTAGCTGCCCCAGTGCTAATTGACAGGGGGACATGCCAGGAGGACGCGCCGCGAAATGTCCCAAGGGACGCGCCAGGCGACGTGCCAAGGGACGTGCCATGGGGTCGCGCCGCGGGACGTGCCAAGGGGACGCGCTACGGAACGTGCCAATGGATGTGCCACGTGATGTGCCAGGGTACGCGCCACGCGACGTGCCAGGGGGACTCGCCAAGGGACGCCCCACGGAACGTGCCAAGGAACGTGCCAGGTTGCAGAGCTGGGTGTATCGATCTTGATGTACCGTGCCGAAGTCTGTGCGGTGCTGCGCCGTGCTGAATTGCGATGTGCCATGCCGCGGTTGTGCTCTATAGCGTCGTGAATTGAGTCCTCCTTTGCATCCGAGTCCTGACCGAACTGATCTGGATCTTAAGCTCGAGCTGCCTGAACGCATAGTAGCTGCCCCAGAGCTAATTGACAGGGGGGCATGCCTGGAAGACGCGCCGCGGAACGTCTCAAGGGACGCGCCAAGCGACGTGACAGGGGACGTGCCATGGGGACGCACCGCGGAACGTGCCAAGGGGACGCGCTACGGAACGTGCTGGGGACAAGCGGTTCGCTCGAGACATCCTGTCAAAATCCGCATGCTAGACATCCGCCTGAGCGACCTGGACACGTGAAAACAAGCGTTTCGCTCAACACATCCTCAACACATTCTCATGCCTCATGCTAGACATCCGCCTGGGCGAACTGGACACGTGAAAACAAGTAATTTGCTCGAGACATCCTCAACACATCTTCATGTGAAACGTCCGCCTGGGTGACCTGGGTCTGTGAAAACAAGCGTTTCGCTCGAGATGTTTTCAACACCTCCTCATTCTAGACATCCGTCTGGGCGACCTGTACACGTAAAAGCAAACGTCTCGCTCGAGACATCCTCAACATATCTTCATGTGAGACATCCGCCTGGGCGACCTGGACACGTGAAAACAAGCGTATCTCTCGAGACATTCTCAACACATCCTCATGCTAGGCATCCGCCGGGGCAACCTAGACACGTGCAAACAAGCATCTCGATCGAGACTGCCTCAACACATCCTCATGCTAGACATCCGCCTGGGCGACGAGGACGCGTGAAACCAAGCGTCTCCTTCGAGACATCCTCAACAGTCCTGGCGCTAGACCTCTGCCTGGGCAACCTGGAGGCGTGAAACCAAGCGTCTCGCTCGAGACATCCTCAAGACCTGGGCACGTGAAAACAAGCATTTCACTTAGATCCTCTGAATTCTAGTCCCCAGGAGAGGACAATATATAACACTAAACAAGCTTTTCGCTCGAGACATCCTCAACAAAAAGATAAGAAAAACAAAAAAAAAAAACGTTCCGCTCGAGACATACTCAAAAATCATGCCGCCGGCCCTAGGCGACCTCATGATAACAAAAATCTTAGCCAGACCGCTGCACAATCCCCCAGCCTCGATGCCTCTGCGCTGCGTGATATGTTCATCTTTCGCGGGGTGCATGCCCAAAGGGAGAGACTCAACCGGGATCGTCGCTGATTTTTGGAGTCACTCTGCAACAAGATGGGGTCGCACTGAAGCCACAACTGCCAATGCGCCCTCTTCTGAGACGAACTGCGAGCTCACCGCTCACATGCATCCGGTGCCCCCCAGCTGCTTCTGGGCACTTAGTCGCGCCTCACGCAGCGGGGCCCGGAAAGGAAGGAGCCACGCATCTCGACGCCAGCTCGCCCCCGCAAGCGCGACGAGGAGAGATCCGCGGCAGCCAGAGGAAAGGGCGACATCGGCCTCCTGTGGGGAGCCCACAAAGGACGCACGCGCCCAGCTATGCACATGAACACGGCCCCTCGATCCGCGAGACGGCCGCGTTATACGAACATTTGCGCAATGCGCACTCTCGAAACCAGCGTGGATTCATGTACATGTACGTCCTTCTTTCGCTCCTGATCCTGGGGGCCGTGCCCGACGGCCACGGGGTAGACTTCGGCGCAGGGGCTGGCGCTCGCAGCCGCTGCGCCCACGCCCTGTAGCCGACCCCGCGATGCCCTGTCCGACGACGACGCCGCTCCGCCCCCCACGGGAAATGGGGGGCGGGCAGGCGGAACGCGACGGGCTCGCTTCAGGCCGCTGCCCGGACAGCCGAAGTCGCTAGAACGGCGGACGGCCGACACCGCGCGCGCCAACCGCGCTGGCCTGCGCGCGGCCAGGAGTCTTCGAGCCAGCAACGAGAGAACAATCAGCGAGCTAAGCCACCACGCGAGGCCAGAGGCCAGGAGCAGGAGCCGAATCACCTCCCACCGCGCTGCCCACGGGCAGCTAGGCGCTGGCAGTCGAGCTAGACCCGGCATCGGCCGCGGCAGGCGCGATGAGCTCGGCGCCCGGCGCCCTCGCCAGGCGGCGGGGCTTCGACCACCCCCGAGGAGCACTGCTGAAGCCCAGCGGGTCCGACAGCAATCCGCAAGCCAACGAGCGCCCAGCCAGCCCCCTCGACATTCCTGAAGCACGCATTTGCGCCAGCACACGCCCGAGAAGCGCGCCGCGACAAGCGCGACCACGCGAGGCAGGATGACGGGCCCAAATGTTGGCTCGCGTCTCATCGGCGCCTCCTTGCTAGCGCCCTGGGGCGCGCCCGATCGATTGAGACAACGGACCGCCTGCACCAGACCCTCAGCTCCAAGACTTGCTCCAAAAAACACGATTGGCTCTAGAAGGAAGCGACACACACGTCCGACAATCGCGCTGACAGCCGCGAACACCGCCCACGAATTGCGCGGGGGGCGGGCCGGACAGGGCCCCGAAGTTCGCCGAACAAGATCCAGCCGGACACGCGCGCCCCACCAAAAACTGGCAGGCCTCATCCCGCACGCGCGGCTGGCGGACGCTACCCGCAGGACGCGCTGGCTCACCCACCTCAACTACCATTGGAAACTGTCTGGGAAGGCTGGCGGCTCTCAAAGTGCCACCAGCGGGCCACGCGCCCTCGAGGCAGCTGCGATAACGGAACAGGACGTGGGACCAGAACAGATCGCTTGGGGAGGCCGCCGCCGCCTCGGAAAAGCACTCGTCGTCGACAGCAGGCGGCCTCGCCTGGCCGCACTGCGCGCGACGCGAACGGCGACGACGCCTGGCACCTCGCGCGCAACAGCAACGCTGGGACGCGGGCGGCCGCGCGCGCATCCGCGCGGGCGGAGACGGCGGCGCGAACGGCGCCCACCGTCAGCCGGGGGCCGCCGCGACCCGCGCGCAGTCAGGCACGACTGCCACGTGGACCGCCCCTCCGCCTCGCAGGCCCCGAAATGCCCCCATCCCAGCGAGGTCGCCGCCTCTGGGGCACGGGACCCCCCGCCCCCCTGATGGACCCGATCCCGTCTTGCCGACGAGGACTAGGACCCGCTCGCCGGCCCCTCGCGCGAGCACGCGGGCCGCGCGAGGGGCCGCAGTCTGCGACCCGAGCACGGCGGCCCCCTGAGCAAGCGGGCGCGCGGCGGAGGGCGGTATCCATTTCAACGGCGCGCAGGGACATCATCGCCGTCGCGGCGCCCGCGACACTGGACCAAGCCACGCTCCGAACTGCCAGGAACCCGCAGAGCTTGCCTCGGCCACGCCTGCCTGAGAGCGTCGCTAGAGCCCCGCCAATAAGCCGCCGCGAGTCGCCCGTGAAAATTGGGACCCGCCCAAGCAGCAAGCAGACGATCAGCCCAGCCCTTTCCGCCCGATACGACGACGGGCGCGCTCGCTGCACGGAGGGCCCGACGACGACGCAAAGCCACGAAAACTCAAGCAAAAGAGAGACAGCGGAGCAAACTCACGAATCCCGCCCCCGCAAACAAAGACACGACGCCCACGCTATAGCATCGCGATCGCGGCACTGACGCCGGCGCAGAGCAGCAGCGATCAAGACAAACGCGCG